AGGGGCAGACCAGCAGGCTAGTCCATCGTGTCTCAGTGTTGACTGTCACTTTTGTAAATAAAGTCATCCATTTCAACCTACCTCCACCCAGTACCACCTCTCAGCCAGCCACCAGAGAGCCAGCCTTGAGTGAAATAGCCACGGTCCTGGCACCCTGGAGCGCCGTCTGGTGGACAGAGCCGACAATGGCCAAGTAAATGTGCCCGCTATTTAAAAACGGAGACAATCAGGGAGCTGTGATGGAGAGAGCGAGCTGGGATGGGAGCTGGGCTGCTCTGGATTAGATGGGCAATGAAGGCCTCGCTGAGGTGGCTTAAACTGGGCCCTTAGGGAGGAAGAGTATTCCAGGCAGAGGGAACAGGTGCAGAAACCGCTTAGGAATGGAGGCCCATGGAGCTGGACCGGTGGAGGCAAGGGGGGGAGGGGCGAGAAACAAAGTCCCGGAAAAGGAGAGGGAGCGAGAGCCTGATTCTGCAAGCTGCCGGCGAGCCGCTCTGGCCGTAGGATTTTGAGGGCCAGAGGCAGCTGTAGAATCACCCTCGAGTGATGCCTCGTGCGCACCTCTAAGAGCAGTAGAAAGGCTCGGCAGTGACCTCCTGCGGAGTGATGGCAGCCCGGACTGGGACGGAGGAAAGTTGTGCGCCCTGCACAGCGCTTCGGGGGTCCGGCCAACAGGTGGAGCGGGGTGCGGGAAACGCCGGAGCCAGGAAGCCCCGGAAAGGAGCACCGGGTGGGGGCGGGCCGACTTCACGGCCGCAGGAGAGCGAGGCCGCCGGAGTCGGACCCTCGGGGACCCACGACCGGCTGCGGGCTGCGAGGGAGAAAGCTCTGGAAGTGCGAATAGGGTCCCTGCCAGCACCCCAGCTGGGGAAGGGGGCGGGGTGGGGCCGAGGCGGCACTGCGCAGACTCGAGCCAGCCGTTTCCATGGCAGCGAGGCCCACGCGCCCCGACAGCTCTGCAACCGTCGGGGCTGCCCCGCCGGACGCCGGAGCGCGTTGGTGGCCGCACCTGCGCGCCGGCCCAGCCATGGGTGACCTGGAGCTGCTGCTGCCCGGGGAGGCCGACGTGTTGGTGCGGGGACTTCGCAGCTTCCGGCTGCTCGAGATGGGCTCTGGAGGGTGAGGCAGCTGGAGCTAGGGCCGGGCGACTCCTGGGGTCCGAGCCCTTGAGTTGGGGGAGTTCCGACGTTGGAGGGACGGGTTGCCGGGGATGGAGGGGCGCCCAGGTGGGGAGGTAAAGTTCTTCAAGACAGGGCTATGTGGTCCTGAGCCCTCTGACCCCACCCTACTCCTCCTGCACACCTGCACCCACATGCCCGCGCACACCCTCTGGGGCAGGTGGAACCAGCAGCATGAGAACCTGGAGAAACTGAACATGCAGGCCATCCTTGATGCCACCGCCAGCCAGGGCGAGCCCATCCAGGAGCTGCTGGTAACCCACGGGAAGGTACGCCGGGTCATAGGCAGGGTTCCTGCCTTCCCCGCCACCACCACACCACCACCACCACCACACCACTCGATCCCTCAGGAGCACCCCGGGCATCTGCTCTTCCCTCCAGTGGCACACCTGTCCTCCCCAAAGGAGGAGCGCCTTACACATTTGATTTCGTACCCCTCCGGGACACAATCCTGGCATGCCAGGCCAGGTGCAGGGTGTGGGTTGGCTAGGGAGATAGTCGTGGATCCTAGAACAGCCTAGACTGCAGAGGAAGGACCCAGGTTCTAAAGGCATTCCTGAGCACTGGAGGGGTCCCCACTGAAGTGGAGGTGGGACTTTGGCAATGGAAGGAGGCAGCCTTCCCGACTCGAGAGAGAGGGAGTTAGAAACCAGAATTGGCTTGGTTGGAACAGGAACCAGGAGGTGACACCAGTAGGTGAACTGAGATATCACTGGACAAAAGGGGTCCTCTGCAAGGAAAGGGTAGAGCCCCTCCTGGGGGTGAGGTAGGAGTGGGGCACTGTGAAGGGCCCTGGTTAAGGGTGAGGCACAGGCACACAAGAGGACAGGGACGAGAGGCAGGGCGTGAGCAGGAGGGCTGGCCTGGGGGCTATCTGATGAGGGAGGAGGGGACAAAGGCACGTATACAGGAGGAACAAGGCAAGGACCAGCCACAGGAAGCATGGGGGATGTCCCCAAAGAGATGCCAGGGGCAGCTGGAAATGAAGGTCAAGGTGCAGGGGAGAGGTCAAGGTGCAGGAGAGAGGTCAGGAAGGTACTCATGGGGCATAGAAGAGTCTAGGGGCCCAGGGGAGTTGGAGGAGAGCTGGGCTAGGCTGAGCCAGGGAGGGGAGGGTTGCCAGACCAAGGCAGACCCACTTCATCCCTGTCCTTTCCCCTCCCCTCAAAGGTCCCGACACTGGTGGTGGAGCTGATAACAGTGGAGATGTGGAAGCAGAAGGTGTTCCCCGTGCTGTGCAAGTTGGAGGACTACAAGCCCCAGAACACATTTCCCATATACATGGTGGTGAGCTGGCCCCTGGTGTGCACCCCGCCAACCCGGTCAGAGGACCTGGGATTAGAGAGGATAGCTGGTAGCCCCTGTCCCCTCGCCAGCAGCCCTGGGCTCTGTCCTCCTGTTTATCTGCCAGGTCCACCATGAGGCTTCCATCATCAATCTCCTGGAGACCGTGTTCTTCCACAAGGTGAGGTGCCAGTCCTGTGCACTGGCTATTGCCCCAGCCAGGGCCTGGTGGCAAGAGGGGTTGTGCCTAGGAAGGGGGTCATCAGAGAGAATGTTTCCCCTCCACCTGCCTCCAGGAGGTATGTGAGTCAGCAGAGGATACCGTCTTGGACCTGGTGGACTACTGTCACCGCAAACTGACTCTGTTGGTGGCCCGGAGTGGCCATGCTGGCCCCCCAGAAAACGAGGAGTCTGAGTATAGCACCCCCATGAAGGTGGGCTGAGCTTCCCTGGGGTTGGCAAGGGCTAAACCCAGGGTCCCCCAGGCCTGAACACCATGTGCTCCCCAGGAGCTGCAGAAGCAGGCAGAGCTGATGGAATTTGAGATTGCGCTGAAGGCGCTCTCAGTGCTCCGCTACATCACTGACTGCATGGACAGGTGGGCTGCCCTGCCCGGCCTGGGACCTGCAGTGGAAGGCTGGGAGCCTGGCCTGTCCCCTCTGCTCACCACTCTGCACCCCCACCCCTAGCCTTTCCTTAAGCACCCTGAGCCGCATGTTCAGCACCCACAACCTGCCCTGCCTCCTGGTGGAACTGCTGGAGCACAGTCCCTGGAGCCGGCGGGAAAGAGGTAAGGTTCTCCTCCATCTGCCTAAGCCTCAGCTCACAGCTTCCAGGATGTCCTCCAGGATTGGTGGGGGTGGGCAGCATGCACACAGGCAGACAAATTCTGCCCCCTAGTCCACAGAGGCTATCAGGATGGGCCTAGATCTGGGCTCTGCAGCAGGCAGGGCCCCCGTGTCCACGACCGAGAACTTGTTATGCTCTGGAGTGAGCAGCACCACAGCCTGGGCAAGTCCTGTTCCCAGGGCAGCGGTCAGACCCCTAGCCCATGCAGCTGGCTTACTCAGAACGCATGCAATGCCTGCACCCAGTACGCGGTTTCCTCTCCCTAGGCAAGCTGCAGCAATTTGAGGGGGGCCGTTGGCAGACAGTGGCCCCCTCAGAGCAGCAAAAGATGAGCAAGTTGGAGGGACAGGTGTGGATTGCCCTGTACAACCTGCTGCTGAGCCCGGAGGCCCGCACCCGCTACTGCCTCACCAGCTTTGCCAAAGGACAGCTACTCAAGGTGGGGAACTCTCCCCAACCCCCCACAGCACTGACCCCACCCCATCCCTGCTGGTGGGTTTGCCCACCCACCTCAGCCCCAGTCCTGTTTCCTGACCTTGGGCCTCAGGTAACACGGCAGTTCGTGGGACATGGGACCCGAAGGCACCCTCAGCCCAGCCCAGGCCGTCCCTGTTCCTTGACCCTCTGGTCAGCACCGTTTCACACTGGCCTTCCCTGGACACCCTTGCAGCTTCGGGCCTTCCTCACAGATACACTCCTTGACCAGCTGCCCAACCTGGCAGACCTGCAGAGCTTCCTGGCCCATCTGGCCCTGGCCGAACCCCAGCCCCCTAAGAAGGACCTGGTGTTCGAACAGGTAGGCACTAGGAAGTTAGTTGCTCAAGACCGCTGCCCACTTTGCCAGTTCAGCTCCTCCCTGACACTCTCTTCTCTCCCCCAGATCCCAGAAATCTGGGAGCGGCTAGAGCGAGAGAACAAAGGCAAGTGGAAGGCGATTGCCAAGCATCAGCTGCAGCATGTGTTCAACCCCTCGGAGCAGGACCTCCGGCAGCAGGCACAAAGGTGAGGCATGCCAAGCTGGCAGACATCGTGGAAGGGATGCAGAAGGCATATGGTGCTCCTGTGCCCCCACCTACCAGGTTCAGCCAGGCCTTCCTGACCCTTTTCCCAGGTGGGCCGAGACCTACAGGCTGGATGTGCTAGAGGCAGTGGCTCCAGAGCGGCCCCGCTGTGCCAACTGCAGCACAGAGGCCACCAAACGCTGCTCGCGATGCCAAAATGAGTGGTATTGTTGCAGGTGAGGGTATCCTAGGATTTGGGCCCCTAAACCCCACTCCTACACGCCCCCCACAAGCACTGCATCCTCACTGGCCCACTTGCCTGCAGGGAGTGCCAAGTCAAGCACTGGGAGAAGCATAAAAAGGCTTGTGTCCCGGCAGCCCAGGATGACAGAGCGAAGTGAAGGCTGCAGCTGCTGAGGGCAGACCACCAATGCCGTACAACCCAGCCCGGTGCTCCTGGACCGCGGGATTTCAGCCTGGCCTCTGCAGGAGCCCCAGCCTCCCAGGTGCTGAGGGAGCAGGCGGGGCCGCTGCTGTCCCATCTCCCCCCGCAAAGCGCTCCCCGCTTCCTGCCCCACCCAGCGGGTAGGCTGGGGCGCTGCCTCAGCTGGGGCGGGCGGTGGCCTGGGAGAGGGGTGAGGGCAAGGGCGGGGGCCGGATGTGGGGACCCTCTTCCTCTTGCACTATAAAGCTGGTCTCCAGAAATGCGCCTGTCTCAGCGTGGCCTTTGCACTCCTCCTCGTGAGAGGGGAGGGGAGTGGCTCTGGGGCTGAAGGGAGGGCGGGGACTTCACGAGAGTCCCTTGCCGCTGCCCCCTCCGCCCCACTCCGCCTGTGGGTCGACACAGCCCCGCAGCCCGGGTTTCCATTGCGCGCTCTCCTCGGATCTCCCCGTCGCTCGCTCGGCCTGGATCTCCGGGGCGGCGCCGCATCGGGGCCCGCCCCGAGACTGCTCGCTCCCAGAACTGGCTGGCGCCCCGGCCGACCGGGCCATGTCCGTGGAGCCTGAGCTCATTGAACTGCGGGAACTGGCGCCCGCGCCGCGCGCCGCCCCAGGTCGCACCCGTCTGGAGCGCGCCAACGCGCTGCGCATCTCGCCGGGCACAGCACGCAACCCAGCCAGGCAGCCGGTCCCGGGCCACGGCCACCGCTTCCAGCCCGCGGGGCCCACTACACACACGTGGTGCGACCTCTGCGGCGACTTCATCTGGGGCGTCGTGCGCAAGGGCCTTCAGTGCGCGCGTGAGTAGCGGCCCCAAGCGCTGGCGAGAGTGAAATGGGTGGTCAAAGGGCAGCACTGGCGCTGCGGGTCAAGTTGCCACGGAGGGGGTAGGCTGGAACGCCCCTGAGGACCAGGTCCATTACCTCTACCCCATCACAGAAGAGAGTGTGGGCACGTTTCATGTCCTTGCCACACTGCACCTGCGTCTGGGGCACAGCTGGGCAGAGACAGGTGCCTGTGAGTACCAAGGTGCTGATTTCAAATTGCTTATCTGTACAGTACCGTGGCCCTTTTTGAGAAAGGCTCTGTGCCTACCAGTCTCTTAAGTCCATATTCCCAGGCCTGCCCCTTTGCAAAGATTCACTCACTATGTCCCCTCCGGGGTAATCACTGGGGTGACGGGCATTTACCCACCTATGGGGGGGGGGCCTGGAAAAAGGTAGAGCCTTGGGTGGGCCCCCTGCAAGCAGGAATTTCGTTGTCTTCATATAGCAAATACCTATCACAGACCAAGTCAACCAAGTGCTAAAACATGAAACACTGCCAGCCACACACCTTCTGCCCTCCCTGGTACCAGTAGCAAGCAGAGGTTGCTCTCCCACTGGCTATACACCAGCTAGAATCACTTGGGATGCTTTTATGGCCCTCCAAACCCCTATACCTGGACCCTACCTCAGACACGTTGAATCAGTCGCTGGGAGTGTTTCAGCAATTTTTAAAAACATCTTTCTAATGTGCAGCCTGGGTTGCAAATCACTGCTCTGGCCCATTTAAGAACTTAAGGAAGATGTTCTAGGCCTGTCTGTGTGCATGGAGACCCTCTCATCCAGCACAGGAGTCTGTCCTGAATTCCGCTGGGAGCAGACACGGGAGATATGACAATACAAGCATGAACAAGGGCTGTGACATTGCCGTGTTCCCAAGACATAAAGTGGCCACAGAAATGAAAAATAGGACAACTTGGGTCCTTGTCAGAGGCAGAAACAAGGGAGGAATCAATGATGAGTTGGGGTTTTTTTTTGCCTCAAACAACTGGGAGAATATTAGCAATTTTTGCTGAGATGAGGAACCCAGGCCTGGGTAGGGTGAGGTGGAAGAAAAGTGAGTTAAATGTTGGCCATGTTGGGTAGAAGTGTCTATTAGACATCCAAGTGAAGATACTGGCTCACAGGATTTGATCTGAGGGGGAAGTCAGCGATGGAAGCCTTGGGTCTGGGGTGGGTTGAGTGTACACAGAGCCGGGCAGCGATCAAGACTGAGCCTCCCTGACGCTCTGCCGTCAGATCTGGGAGCTGAGACAGAACCAAAGGAGCTCAGCAGCAACTGAGGGGAAGTAGGAGGAACACCGGGGTTGTGGGGGCCCCTCGGAAGCGAGGGGAGCATCAGGCGATGCTGAGGTGAGGCTGGAGAATGGACCGCGGGACTCGGCAGGACCCAGGTTGCTGAGGACCCTGACCAGGGCAGTTTCCTGGGGGAGCAGGCCTGGCTGGGATCGGCAGAGAGAGTGAAGGCGAGAAATGCGCGCATGTAGATCAGACTGGGGAGTTCTGGTCCGAGGGGAGCAGAGACAGATGCAACTGGAGCGGGACATGGGTTAAAACACTGCAGCTTTTCCCTTCCAGGGCGGAGGGGGTAGGTTCTGCACTCCAGCTCCAACTGCGGAGCCGGCCGGGGTCCCTAACTGCCGGAGGGAAGGGAGGCCTTCCCGCCCGCTCCCAGACGCCGGGGGACGAACGCTAGAACCTGTGTGGAGGGGGCGGTAACGGGGCCTCCATAAGGCCAGTTAGGCAGAGCCCAGCGGTCAACGGCCCGCACCCTGGGGCTTCTCTTCCGTCCCCGGGACGCTTCTTGGAGCTGGGGCTCCCCCGCCTCACGGCCAGGCCTCTCTGCAGATTGCAAGTTCACCTGCCACTACCGCTGCCGCGCGCTCGTCTGCCTGGACTGCTGCGGGCCCCGGGATCTGGGCTGGGAACCGGCGCTGGAGCGGGACACGAACGTGGTGAGTTTGGGGCCGAGACTAAGGCGAGGCGGGGACCCGCAGACC